CGCTATTAGAGAATCTTGTTCGTAATATCCTAAAGAATATATCTACAAACTTTCGTGAGTTTTGGATACTTCATTATCAAAATATAGACGAAAACGTTACGCGCCACTACTTTCGCCGGGGACTGTAATATTTATTAGTAAAATTATAAAATTTAATATAGAGGAAATTTCAATTTATATTAGCATTCATTATAATTATAAAGAAATTTTATTATACATCTTTTAAAAATTTAATAATAAGAAAATTAAAATTAATTATTTTTAGATTATTTAATCGTTATATAACTTAAACTTGACAGTTTAATTAGTACATGTAAATTAATTAGTATAAAATATAATTATAAAATTATTTATTTATTATTCTAATTTATTATCAATGTTTGCTCGTTGAGTCAACGTTCAGATTGTTACAATAATTTTTGTTAAAAGAGAGGATAATAAAATTTTCAACTTTAAAAAATCTATTTGTCACACTCTCTGCATGTTTGCACGAAGATTTAAAATTTGTTACAAGGGAAGATAATTGTATATTTTTGTTTCGTTTTCATTTGTTGTCGCTAGGTTTACAAAAGAAAATTATTTTTGAAGCTTCAAAAACATGATTAATATTAAACTTGAAACACATCAAACAATCTAAATCTGAATTCGATTGAAAACTTGTAGATCATCAGAACAATATGAACAGACAGATTAGTGAATGAAGAATATTCCTAAAGAAACGGTCAAAAATATGATAGAATTTCGTAATAAATTTTTTATGAATAAGACGATTGATCTTTCAAATGAATCTGTTGTGTAGCTATTGAGGATATCGATGTATACAACAATTTTTTTTGGTAGTTATATGTTATTTAATATAAACAGTAATAAACTTTTACACATGGTATATGTAGGTATCAGAATTGATTTTGTCTTGTGGCGTTTTTAAATTGTTTCTAGTTTTACAAGAGTTTTTGAAAGTAGTTCGGATTCCTTAGAAGACTATTTTGAAGATAAAAGACAAGAAGAATTTTTAATTAAGGTATATTTTTCTAATATGATTTATATTCAGCTGCTTTTTTATAAGAGAATTAATGCACAGAAAAATTTTTACACGTAAGAAATATTTACATTTTTACGCTAACAATAATCATTGATTTAAGCTCTAAAAGAGATGATGGCGCACAGACCGTAAAGTTCTATGTTAAAAGAATTCGCATTACGTATTATTCTATGTACATACATGTTTCACAAAATGAGAGGTACTGTGAAACACAAAAAAAAAAGCTAAAAACGTAAAACAATGATGATTAAAAATGACTGATTTTTTTCTAAATTAGTATATCAACGTACAGAGAAGAAAGCTTTTTATCATTATTTATGAATAATAAAGATTAAATTAAAACCCATATTTGAGTATAATGTTGTTGAGATTCTTACAGATAATGATTACTAAATAATCTTTAATTGTAAAGAACAATTGATCAACTCAAAGAACCGATTCTTGGCAATAATACGATATTTAAAATTATTGAATACAGTATAAATTTTAATTTTCGATTGTGATTTTATTATTTTATTATTAACATTGTTAGTATCCTTTGTCTTTCTTGAATAATCGCTTGCAGCGATCACGCTATCCATGCTTTGTTTCTTTTAATCATTTATGTACGTTAAAATTCTGCAAGACTTGTTTTTTTTGCAATTTATTTATTCTCTATCATGCGCGGATTTAGTTCCTCTCTCTCTCTTTTTATCAATAAAAGAAGTCAACAAGGAAAACCCAAAAATCATGCAGTGTTCTCGTTTTTTTTTTTTACTTTATTTTCATTCAAATTTCTTTCATTTACATGTATAATGTAGCCTGATGTAAAACAGCAGCAAATTATTTAAATCAACAAAGAACAAGTTATGCTTACATGCTCCATTATAAAGAGCATGCAAACAACAAAAATTATAAGCATACATGAATTCATCCAAAGTTTAATTTTTGTTACTCGCTTTCTTCTTCAAGCCCAAAAATAAGATGATTGTAGTGCAAAATATCCATCATAGTTTATGTAATATTCAAGTGCATATTCTTGTTTTTAAGCATAATCTTGAAAAGAATTTCTCATCGTTATTTTAGTAAGAGATTGTATGCATGTAAAACGAGTTTTACGCATTCATAGAATCATCGACTAAAATTTTTATAGAAATATTTTTGACGACTCATCGTATTGAATATCAATCAAAAGATAAAAATATGTGCAGTTTTAGGTTTTCTAAAAATAACAAAAATCAAAAATTTTCGTCAATGTTTTGGTGTAGATTCAATCTACACTTGAATTTTTATTACATTAATTAAATACAGCTAGACTATAAAATAATGTGATACTATTTTTAGCAGTAGAAATAAATTTTTCGCGCAGGTTCTTATATCAATACGCGCGAGACTACTAATTATCTACGTGCTAATTTTGAAGATAAATAGATAGAATTTACAATAAAAGAATGCTTTTTGGCTATATATAGGTTATAGTATATATATGAGTAAGTATATAGTGAGTGTACATATTTCTGTCTACAATTAAGATATACAGATTAAATTACAAAAACCACACCCTATTTTTTTCTGAACTTAAAGAAACCTTTTCCATAGTTGTTATTTTCGAGTTTTCTCTCGTCTAATTGTAACAATTTAATCATACGACAACCCCCGTCTCGTCCCTCAGTTCCAATAATGATACTACCCCGGTGAGGTGCACTATCTTCCATATCGACGACCACGACATGTGGATGCATCGCTTCAAATTGTAAAACTGTGCTCGCATGTTGACCCAACAATGCTGACGGTGGTCGTTTTGGCAGTGATATTATTGAAAGATTTTCTCCGCCACTTTTTTGATAATCCATACTGACTACGGTTGTTTCATTGCTAGAACCAATACTATTATCATCACTGTCATTCTTATTTCTGATGCTCCTAATGAAATAATGCTGACTATTCCTTCGTGGTTTCTTTCGTCGATATAGTAAAAGACAAATTAGTAAGCTGGCGAAAGCCACAATTGAGAATATTGGCACTAACACATAAACAATACTTTGACTTCGATTATTATTGTTGTCTGTTGAAGAAAGCGGCAGAGTAGATGATGGTGATGGGTCGATGGTTTGTTCTGTCGGAATGAATGATGGACTCGAAAACGCTGGAGATGATGATGTTGAAGTAGTGGAAGTTAAAGATGAGGAAGATGGTGTCGTTGACACTGCCGACGTTATTGCAATTTGAGTCGGAGTTCCAATCAGAGTAGAGTTAGCATTAATATCATCATTATTATTATTGGAAGTGGAATTGTACGAGTTTGAAAGTTCTGTTGCCGTTGCCGTTGCAGATGCTGTTGAACTCTCTGTTGGAATGCTGTCAGTTTTAGAGGACACAAGGGAGGAATAAGAGGTTATTGTGGATCCATTTTCGCTCATAATGCAATCGGTTGCCTTTCTAAACCACTTTTCAATTGGTGGATTATCTTTTTTGTTTAGTTATGGACGACGCACGGTGCTTTTTTACGGTTTTTGCTGTTAATATTACGGCGCTGCTTTTACGATCACGCGGACTAGATTATAATTCTTCCTTGTTTGTTTTAGTGTATGCATATATCTCGTTTCTTTTTGATTGAACATAAATTTCAGTCGTAGAAAGAATCCAACGTTTCGTCGTATGCTGATAGATTAAGGACAAAAATCTATTTGTCTTTCTATTAAATAGCGCAAGGAGATAGTTGTGAACAAGAAAATGAAAATTAGTTGTCTTTGGATTTTCAATGAAATAAAAGAATAGTTGAATCAATCAATATTCGACCGTTTGTGCGTTAGAATGAGAGCAGATGATTAAAGATAAAGAATTTAAGGGTAGATAAAAAAGATACGAAATTAAATTACGGATTAGTGAAGGAAGGAAGAATGATCACGGATAGAGATGGAAAAATGAGAAGTGAGGAGTGCGGAAGGAGAAGAGGAGAGGAGAAGACGCAACAAAACAAAAAGAAATAATGCAACGCTGCAAGTTTGCAAGTGCAATGTTTCCTAGCTACGTACATATATATATATATCATAATATATCATAATATCTTTTTTATGTCGTGGTACTCTCGTAATGTGCATCAAGTATATTATTAATAAAAATATACGAAACCATACATCGCTAATACCAGCGCATCACATCACGGTTACCCGTCACCATTCTCACGTTTATCTTTGATTTTTTTTAAACAAAGCTTAATATTAGTTGGTGAATGATTTTTTATTATATGCATCTATGACAATTGCCAAAAATGCGAGAACGATATGGTTAAACTGCCAAGTTTCCTTTTTTTGAATCATTACGAAAAATTAACTATTGTTGGGCGTAAATCTATGACATCTAATTTTTAAAACAACAAACAAAAACGAAATAGGAAAGCACGCTCTTGGTTGCCCTTTTAAAATTGGGCCCATATATGTATCGTATCGTTTACCAGAATTCATTAAAATAAAGAAAGTCGACTTTTTAATTATTACCATAATTAAACAAATTATCAATATACATTAAAGCATGCAAATGCATGCAAGCTGTTGTAATTTATTCGACCTTGTACAACTATTTATCGATTATGGCGATACACCAAAATAATTTTGTTCTCGGGTTTCATGCAATAGCAACAGTAATGGCTGCAAAGACACGTTACTCCAATATACTATTCTTCTTCATTATCTTTCGTGCGTACCTGTACGAGCATCGCAATTCCTGGGTGTGGTGATATTAACAAACAATGCTGAGAGTAAATTATTCATGTCGTGGAAAATTTTAATATCAAAACATGCGCATGTAACATGTCACTCTGACAAATTAATTTGGCAGCCTCAATAATTAGCGCAGAACCGTCATTGTCTGAACTCAGATAATCGTGGTAGAAAAAAATGTTAATGGCAATTTTGTGATGATGATCTTCTCGAGACATCTGCGCAAAAGATGAGACCCGATATCTATAACGGAGTAACCATATCAAGTTCACAAGGACTTCTAATCTTAACGTTGATAAAAATTATATTATGAGTGTCAAATTTTTGACATGTAGATGTATGTAAAATTATCCCGCTAAGGGAAAACCTTGATTTGAATTAAATATCAACTCGCATTAATTTTGAGGGTGTGCATTTAGTGGATAGCTTAAGACCGGGGCTAGAGCGTGTACTATGGACGACGCATTAAGAGAGGTCCCAACGTATTCCAGCTTTGTGTTTCGAGATAAGCATGGGGTCCAAAAAGATATATTTACGTCTACTATTTGAAGAATGGGCAACGTCATCTTGCGTCACCAAAAGACGCATAAGGAAAAAATTTGAATATCATCGTATTATCGTATTTGAAGACGTTCTATTCGACGAAATGGTCATGTAACGTGATTAGTTTAAGAAATAATATCTGTAGATCCTCTTCTTCTATGTAGAAATTTTTTGGTAAAGATCGGAAAAACAATGAATTGGTTCTTTTTCTAACTTGTTTAGTAAAGGCGGGATCTTTTTTATGTGCACTAGAGCACACGATTATTTTTGGCATAGATAAAAAAATTAGGTTACGTTGATTCCCACCGTTAATGCCATCGATTTTTGAGAAAAAAGCCAATATTCATTTTAGGAAGTTAAACACGATTTTGCGCAACTATTTTATTAAGAAAAAACGATAAAGATGCCATTAACATATATGTGCAAATGAAAATTCTGATGAATATGCGCCTTCAACGTTTTTTATCTAGTCTCGGAAAACCATTGGTTAGAAACGTTAGAAAATCTAATTTTTCTCGCAAGCAAATAATTAAAGATGCCTCTTGCTGATTGTTATACAGGTATCTAAGATAAAATGCTTACATGCATACGCTTAATGTTTGTTAATTAATGCATGCGCGATGTGATTAGCGCGTTTTTCCCAAACTACATAGCAGCGTGCCAATTATCATTGCAATTTTAACGTGTCCAATCAATCGTTGCCTCGTTCGAGAACTTTTACCATCGCGATAACCACCACCTTTCTTTACCTTTACTGTATAATCTAAACTATCATCAAATTGTTGATAATTACCTCTCATTAGAGAATACATTCATTAGTGCGAAATAAGTAAAGATGGCATTTTTTAGCCCACGATTAACGTAAAACAATAAAATGACAAGTACACGAGTCGAGCCCCATAAATACAGTTAAAGGAAAAAAAAAAAGCAAATAATAAATTCTCCCCAACAGCAAATCGATAATCGGAGATCTAATTTCCAATAGCAATAGTAAACAGCCTTAGGATTATACACAAATATGCGACGTAGCGGTTTAGGCGCATATGGTTTAGGTGCGTTGGATAAAACCTATTTTTACTATCTAATTGTCTCTGGCTGAAAAAATAATACATGTAGTAATAAAAATAACAATTATGGTAAGGTCAAATGCCATTATAACTTATGTGCATGTCTTCCGAGATAGGTATCTTTTTTTCTGTGAAACAAGGGATGATAGATATATCGTATAGGAAAGGCGAATAATTGTGAATTTTCGTTTTTATTCATGTTTTTTACCTGTTTCTCAGCTGTCCTTGTGTTGCTATCCATGATTCGATGTGGTGGTGGGTGCATAGCCACCCCTTTAGAAGAAACTTGTTTTTCATGACGATAATAATTTTTCAAATGCAGGGTCTAACCAAATGAAAATTTCGTTCTATAAAAGTACGCGAATATTTTTTCGTCACACGTCATACCATCCACACGCATGAATGTATGTGGTGGTAATATGAGGAAAATGAGTCTCCTGGTTTTTTTTTGTTCCAGGTTATTTATTAATCCCTGCCAATCCATACCCGTTTTACTGAAAAATTTTTCCAAGTTTCCATTGGTAAACCCTAAATTTAGATTGAACGTCACGTTCAATTCGATTTTCTTTTGAATTTCGCGTCCACCAGAAGACGTTTCGCAAATTAGAATGAACGGAGGTTATTTTTATGCGCAAGTTAGAATTCGTGTTTATTGATACATGTACCATGATTGGATTGAGAAATCTTTTCATGTTTGAAACAATTAAAAAATATAATCAATTTACAAAACGGACCATTTTCTTGCCAATATTCCTTTAACAGCTCATTTTATATTATTGTTGAAACATGATTGTGTTGTGTTTAGATAATTTATTTATGTTTATGTATATTTACGTAAACAAAAAATTACATTATTTACAAATGCCAAGATTTTCGGGTTTCTGAAATGGAAGTAAAAAAAAAAAAAGAAACAAAAAAGGATGAAAAGAGTTTGTCCGAAAATCAATTGAATAAAATTTTACTATACAGAAAAAAGATGGTTGTATTCATTCGAGAAGTTTAATTTGTACAAAGGAAGAAATGTTAATATTTTACAAATAAATAAATCAATCAATCAAATCAATCAATACTTCATTCATTCATTTTGGTCGTCGCCAAAACATGATTTTTCTCTTTAAAGTCTTTGAGAACCTTCCTCTTTCATTCTCATCATCGTCTTGTATCGAAATGACATTGACCACATGTTCAGTACCGGAGCTATCAGTGTTTCTCACCACGATACTTCTTCCTCTCTCGCCAAGATTCATCGTAACCCGTCGTGTCATTGGTTCAATCTGTAGCGTGGACACTTGATAATGATTTGATCCGCGTGTCGAGGTTGCATTCGTGGAAAATGAATGGACTGTGGACGAAGGAGATGACGGGGGTGGTGGTGGTGGTAGTGGTGGATTTTGATAAGCTTCTGAAATTCTTGTCTCTGATGTTGATACCATTCCTCCTTCTGCGGCGGATATTGCCGATGAGAGTAATTGTTGTTGTTGTTTTTTTCGTCGAATTCGAATGTATACGACAAGAAGAGCGCTAAGAAATATTATAAATAAAAGTGATAATGCTAATCCGGTTGTTAATCGCTGATCCGATGGTATTATTTGCTGCACGCTATTTGTTGAATTTGATATTATTGATAACGTTGATGTTGCTGTTGCTGTTAGTGTTGTTGTTGGTGGTGGTGTTGGTGGAGTTGGTGTTGATGACAATGCTGACGATACAGATGGAAAAGATCCTAATTTTATAATTGAAATTAACAAAGCTAGATTTGCAATTATTAACTTCTATTTATAAATCTAGAACAAATGCTAACCTGTATCAACGTTCGGCGAAGATAATGTAAGTACACTGGTTAATGGTGTTGAGGTGATTACGTTTGTTGTGCTGGTGGTGCTGGTGGTGGTAGTGGTGGTGGTGGTGATGGTTGTGATATTGAGATTATTATTATTATTATTATTATCAGTATTATTTGTATTAGTGTTGTTAGTGAGTGTCTGATTTGTGTTTAATTTAATAATTTTTTTATTGTTCATTTTTTTGCGAAATTATTTATTATGAAGAAATTTGTCAAGATGACAAACGACACATGAATAGATTCTTTATGTGTTTGATTGAGTCAAAAATTAATTTCTTTTCTTCCTATTACTTATTGATTAAATAACAAGTTCATTTGCGTAAAAATTATTTGATTATTAATTAAAAAAAATAATTGAAAAGAAAAAGGACCGGTCGAAGTCAAAACCTCCGTTGGTTTTTATAGAAGATGACTTCTGAGTCTTTATATATATAAATATATCCAATTTATATACAAATGTATATAAATGTATATATGCATATAAACGTTAGTTTGCGATGTACATCGCACACTTGTTTTTTATAACAAATAAATATGGGTTCACACAATTGCAACGGATGTTGAAGTTTTTATAGAAACGGAAATAAACGGTTGATCACGAGGAGTGAGAGTCAAGAATGACTAGAATACAGTATGAAATACACATTCATTTCCTCATTTTGTCGAACACTGACATGAATATTATTTTTTTTATATATAGACATTTAATTGAATTCTACTCCATATATATTGTGGATAATGGCACTTTTTATTTATATTGTATTTATTACTTGAAACCATTTCGGCTTTCATAATGTCAAACAAAGATTTTTTTTATTTTGCTATCGCTATATTTATCTATTTGTTTATCTATTTATTTTATTTATTTTATTTTATTTTTATTTTATTTTATTTTATTTTTTATTTTATCTAAACAAACAGTGGCGTCAAATGATTGTTAAATGTATTTTGGATGACTAGGATTTTGCTGTGTATGAATTATTATTTCATACACAGCATATTTTTTTTTCCTAATTTGATGTATACCCTTTAAATAATAAATAAATAATAATACCAGGCATCATTTTAATTTGAATCTCTTTTTTCTCTATACCATAGTACTTTGTCCATATATTCACTGATTCTGTTGTCGGTGGTCATTTGTTTTGGATGAATCATCGTTTTGGATTTTGTTTCATTTTATTGGTTACTAAGATAACTTTTCCGTTGTTAGAAAGTTATATATACTATAATGAAAAATAGTAAACGTTAAAAAATAATCAAACTCTATCAGACATTATGGCAAAGTATAGTTGTATTTTGCAGTATAAGTTAAATTTGTTAGTTTGGGCCATACATGTATTTGTTGTTTGGCCTCTCCCTGTAACGATTAAGATTATTTTAAATACACGCATTTATAAAATAATAAATCGATTGTTGTTTTTTAATTGTACTCAAATCTATATGTGCATTCCGTCCAGACCTATGACCTGTAAATAAGGTTATCATTTTTCCCTCCGTTTTTGTTTTTATTATTTTTCCTTTATGATTATCGTTATTGGTCAATAGATTATTGCGTGTGTAATTTCAGTTTATTAAGAACTCTAAAAATATGCAAGCAAAAAACTATCTTTTTTTTTTTTAAGAAAAACTGCGAACACCTAGTACTAGACAATAGCAAACTCTTTTATGTAAGCAATAAGTTACATGCATGTATTGACTCGGGATCATTGATACTGCGCTGCGCTATTACTGTTTGTGGCGTCTCGTCACCACATGCAATATATTGATATGCTATAACCATACAACCCACGATACCGACATGTAATGTCTTTGATATGCTTATGCACATTATGCAAGTAATGTTTCGACAATTTTTTGTATCAGTCATGTTTATGCCAAGGGCTAATTAAATGTAAGTAGCCTGTTTAATTATTATGTTTAATATTACATCGTAATATTTTATTTAATTTGAGAAATATTTACATATTTCTTTAAATTTCTATGAATCAATATTAACATGCATTAATTAATTACATGTAGTTGTATTTGGGATTGAATTGCTCTTATTTAGTGAAACGACTTGGCTAAAGAAATATTCTATCGGCTAAATGTATTACATTTCCAAGTTGACATTTATATATGGTTTTATTTAGTTGAAGGATAAGTAAACATTTACTGAATTTGATTTTTGTAAAATACAGGAAATTTTCGAAAGCTATTTTTATTTCAATTACAAACTTGATAAACTTTGTAAAATTTTTAATTTCTATGCAGCCTAAATTGCAATAATGAATTAAAAATTTGCGGCAGATCGAATGCTTGGCCTATAAGAATGATCTGTTACTCGCATATCGCAATAACAACAAAAAAGATTACGCATAATACATGTATTTTCAATAGTTATATTGTTCTTTCGATGAATTAATTAGTTGATTGCATATTTTAAGATAATAACATCCGTCTGTAATTTAAGCTTGTTGTCTTTTTATTGGTTTTACAATGAATAAATTGAGATGAGAATTCCTTTAATTTTAGTTTTTCAAATTTAGTCTTAATATTACGTATTATATATATATATAACCATTTTCTCTTTTATTAGAGCTTTAATGCATATTTACTAGGTATAACTTAAATAGTGAATATATATATATATTTTTGAATTGGCTTTAAATAAGTTTCACATAGCAAGAGAGCACAACATTTTAAAAAATTAGATCGAACACCGGGATAATTATAATTAACGTCAACATTTATTTTCCTTTAAGTAGTCATGAATGAATCTTAGGAATTTATTACAAATTAGTTAAATAGAAGCTACCCATATTCAGAGTATTTTCTCGATAGAAAGACTCGGATACAGCCTGTTATTGAGATATACGTATTTTATTGGCAGGCACCCGACGAGGATTATTTCCTCAAACTCTATTCACCCGATTATTACGTTGTCATGATGTTAGCTTGCGTTTCTTCTTTTCCATTTTTTCTTTGGATTTTTTATTGTTTTCTCTCGTGCAATTACCGAAAATGCTTGTGCATACAACGGATAACAATCAATTCGCAAAGCGAATACCATATGCAGTAAAAATTGCGCAATTCACAAAGCAGAAATTAGGAGTCAATTGACGAACTTTTTTATTCTTTCTATGCTTTTTTTTCTTGTTGGATGAATTTATTAATTGATTGTTGTTGCTATTTTTGTAACAATCATTACATGTATTAACGGCGAGAGAAAGCGCGCGCGATGATATAATTTGAAAATCAAAATTCTTAAACTTTTAAATTGTATTAAGCCAAAATTGGCGATTTTAGGTTTACAATGTGGGGTTTAAAAAATCTATTTTAATCGGGTGTTTGAAAAATCCCCGAATAAGAATTAAGCACAAGCCACCCATGCGCTTAAAAAGTGGCGTAAATTTGAGAAATCCGGTGCGGTGCGATGCGAACATTTCCGATTGTTTATACATGTACAAAGACAGTAACATAGAAAAAAAAAGTAAGGCTCGTGACTTTCGACTCCATCTATAATCATGTGAGGTAGTCACGTAATTCTTAAAAGATGATAATGACGTCTATGCCTCGGTATTATCGAACGAAATATTCGTTATTTCATGCAAGTTCGTTGAATGCAAAGAGAATAATTTTCTAATTTATTAGAATGGATAACAATAGATTCGAAGCAAGAAAGCTTATAGATCCAAGTATCGAATGCAATGATAGAAACAAACAAATCTATCTTAATTAAAAAAACCTTTCTTGTCTATTTCAAAAACGACCGATCGATCTTTTTTAGTTGACTGTAAATTAGAATTAATAAATTCGGCAGAAGGAAAAGTTTATTCTCATTTAAAATAAAATAGCATATAGCTAATGAAAAAATATAACAATAAGAATCTGATTTAAAAATCATTATTCAGCTGATACAAATAACCACTTAATGATATATGTTCATTCATCGTCGCGTTATAGTAATAAAGTCAAAAAATGCATGCAAAATAATTATACAACGAATCTACGATATTTAAGAACAGAAAAATTTTTTTAAGTATAAATTAAAAATTTCTTTCTAAACTCGCTTAATAAAGCATTCATTGTTTACCTATCAAGATATTCTATTCTAGATGATAAATGAAAAAAGATCAACAGCAGCTATTTTCTCAGAAGAAACTATTAAAAATATACTTTAATTGGCGGGGCAATCGACGAAGATTATTTCTACATTTTTTCCCCTTCTTTTCCATTTTTTTCTCGTATTTGTAATTGGCAGCGTTTTTCTCTCTCTAGTACAATCCCGCCAAGAATCTTTAATATATACAAAAAATAGTAATGAATTCGCGAGTGCGAATGTCATCTGTAGTAAATCGTGTAATTTGTAAAGCAAAAATAGGTGCTGATTGAAGGACTTCATGCATGAATGGCTTTTCTTGTTAGATGTATTTATTGAGCATGGCCGTTACCATTTCTGTAAACAAGTATGTATTAACGGCAATAGAAAACGCGCACGACGATATATTTTGAAAACCGACTTTCTTTATTGTTTATAGGATTACACAACAACGGACGGGTTCGGGCAATTAGAGAAAAATTTTTAAAAAATTCGCTATATCATGAGTTTATTAGTAAATCTGCTATATTGAGCGAGATTTATGCTGTTTAAACCATCTATCCATTATATCGAGTTTTTAATTAGTCTCCGCTATATCGAGGGTCTGTTATATCGAGAGTCACTGAAATTGGAGAATCTAGGTTTTTCAATGTTTTCTAGCGAAGAAATGTAATTTTTCGGGAGTTTGAAAAATCCCCCACATAAAAAAAACTAAAATTGGCGTAAACCGATGCAAAGGATCTTATGTAAGTGTGTGTTTGTGTAATATATCGATCGATATCTGATAATGTTGGGGTACATGTGTATCGATAATAAATTTCTATGACGAAATTATGCATGAATATTGTCAATTCAATTTGATAATGCTAAATTAAATGGTATAAAGACTATTATTAATTCTATTAGGTCAGAGGAAATTAAGTCTAAATGCGATTCGATGTCTATTCGATAATTAGAACGTGGTTATTTTCCTTGACTCTATCGGTTTGTCCCTTCCACTTGACGAAACATATGATTTACATTAGATAGTCACAAGTAAATTTATTCATGAATTTTATGCTTCAATGAAAAAACACACAAAGCCCATATTTATTTTATTTATTACACAGAATTATGGAAACAGGGGGGTTCGATTTTATTAGTAAAAAAATTGAACTTTTCTCTTTATATTAAAGTCTATATTTTTATTAAGAAATAATTTTTGTTTTAAAGTTTATAATTTGTAGTTGAACATATATTTGTTTCAGAATTTTTTAGTTTTTCCGAAAGAGTTCTAATTGAAAGTATTGTAAAATTTTTCTAATTAAAATTCTTTCAGAGAAATTATAAAAATCAGAAAAAATATATGATAAACTACAATTAAAAGTTTTATCTTAGTATCAAACAAAATTATTTCTTAATAAGATTATAAACTTTAAAGAAAATTTTCAATTTTTATTAATAAAATCGACCCCTGATTCCTTAATTCTGTTAGTCATTGTATAACGAATAAAACACTTTGACATAATCAAAACGCAACAATTTTTGTGCATGCACAATCGAGATCCTTACGGAAAATTGTATTTATAATATATATGCAAAATTTGAATAGAGTGGAAAAGGAAAATTTATAATTGATAAAAACCAACCAGAAAATAAATTATATAAAATGATTCATTGCGAAAATTTGTGTGAATTTTGTGATTTCTGAAATAGTATTTTTAGATATTTGTTCATCATAATGTAAGAATAATAGTTGATACATATATATAAATGTTTTTATAATATTGGAATCTTTATTAATAGATTTATAATTAAAGTGTGTAAATCAAGATTCGAATTTACTTTTTTATAATTAATAAAAAGAATAACTATATTATTTTTATTAATATAATTTAATATTCCCTAAATAATATTATATAATATTGAAAAATTTAAATATTAAATATAAAAATATCCAGATATTGAATATAATTTTGAACTCATTATCTAAATGAATTTTTAAGCTTTATCAAGATATATTTAATAATTAAATATTATAAAATTTATACAAATTTATCAAATAAAATAATTTATTAAATTTTCTAAATTATATTCTAAAAATTATTAATTATTAAAAAAATAATATATATAATTACAATATTATTTAAGTTAAGATACTTGTTCAAACTAATTTTATTTTTAGCTAAATTAATTATTATTAATTAATTTTTTAATTAAACTTTTCAAATATTTTTGAATTTAATAAAATTAAGTTTTATATTAAAGTTATTCAATAAAAAAGTTTTAGTTTTAGTCTCTTTGATTTGATATATAATTATTAATATTTTTTTATTCAAAAATTAATATTAAAAATATTGTTAGTTTAAATTAAACTTAAAATATATTTTCATTTTATATAAAGTCTTCTTGGCTTTAATTAAAGTTCTTGAATTAATAATTTTTAATAAGTAATTAATATTATATATAATTAGAATAATTTTCTTAAAAGATCTGAAAATAATATTTATTAATAAAAAGTTTATATATAAAATAAAATTATTTAACTAATAGACTTTTTTAACTATTATATATTAAATAAAAAATATTATTAATTAAATAAAAGTAATAATAAATACTATTTATTATTCAAAAATATAAAAAAGTTTTTTTATTAATTGATAATAAAAAACTCAAGTATTATATTAAAAATAAGATTTTTATAGCATTTCATATTAAATATAATAAATTAAAATTTTTATAATTTTTTAATAAAATAAATTTTTTAAGCAAATTTTAATAAAAATTCTTAATTAAAAATATTTATTAAGGAAAGAAATAAATTTAATTATTTTTATTAAAGAGAAAATTTAATCAAGAATAAATATAAAATATCATAAGATATAAAATCATTAATTTTACATAATAATAAAATTTATAAAAATGGTGGTGGTGCAGAAATTGATGGATTTCTTTTCTAATAAGCAATCGCAGACAACAATGCTATTGGCATTACAAATGAAATGGCGAGACCTGGAACCACAAAACATTAACGATAAGTTAATTAGCAAAGAATATAGCAAATTTAAGAATGTGGCCAGAGAGATTGAGTTGGATAATAAGCTATTGTTAATTCTGTCAAACTATTCGAGCACATTTAACAAAAGTTTACTACCACCAAGTTGCGCAATTGTTGACAAAAATAACTTTATTGAGTATTATGGAAAGATATATTCATCTCGGGCCCAATTTGCTGCCGGTAGGTCATATGCTATATATATATAGCCTTAATGAATTCAGCGTTTCTTTTTTTAATTTATTCACTAAAAAAAATTCACTCTTTTGTAGCTTACGATAAAGTATGCGTTAATTCGGCAGAACTTTTTGTATAAATGGGATGGGATTGAAAAAGCATTATCGATGAACGTGAAAGTAGTAAAAAGAAAATTTGTTAATGGGATGTATAGAATGTTAGCAAGAATCATATCATTTTAATACAATTTAATATACTGAATGTTATATAGAATTAACGGTGTATAGCGAATTCAAGTTTATTCGAAATGTACTTAGATTTTTGAATTTACATTTGCATCACATAATTTCGTGATATTGCGCCAATTAGATGTTCAAGATTTTCTTGGCGAATATCAAAGCCCGACGATAGAATAATATCCGAAACGTTGATCAAAGACATTTGTAACGGGAAAAATGCTCGTTAGCATATATACACGGAGAATAACATTTAATTTGTTCGAAAACAGGGGACGTACCGTAAATTTCCGAAAATAAAACCCTTTGATATCCAAAATCTTGAAAAAGTGAATAAGCAACCCTTTTTTTAATATTCAATTTTTTATATATTAATAGAGATCTGAATTCGACACTCTTGCTGTGTTTGTAGCACCAACCTTTTTAATTCCCTCGTCAAGTTCGTAACAGATGCAATACATATAAATAAAATTGGCATTTTGACCAATAATTAAGCATTTGGAAGGGCTCGAAAATATGACGTAGTGGTTGCTTATTTTCGGGACTTTACGGTAAGCGGGTTTTATTTAATGTTTGAAAAGATTAGTTTTTATTTAAACGTTTTGCTCTTTTTTTCCTATGAGAGCTCAGAAAAAGCATACCAAAGATCCTTTTTATACAAGATTCATGGCTTAAATCTGATTTGCTGAATCTGTTAGTAAGGTCAGAACATACTGGAAAAATTTAACTATATCATAGAATATGAGATGTAAAATTGTGATGACTTTAAAGACTCAATCACGATGTGGATAACATAAAGCAAGGTACGTGACGCCAGTAGATCCGAAGAAAGTGCATTTCATGCATTACAATTGTAATAATAAGTATCAAGATAGTTAGAGCTTTATTATAATTGTTAGTATGAAATGTTAAACGTGGATTAATAATCGACTTTCATCCCGCAAATTTCTTTACCAATTCCATCTTACACTAATTACTATATGATAACGATAATCATATCAAAATCTGCCCCCTCCAAATACATAAAAATAAAAGTAATGCATGTTCACATACGTAATTGTATAACGATATCTCGTTTTTTTAAAGCAAATCATGTTCTATAAACGCATTTTATAAAGTGATGGAATCGAATACTCATGATTGTAGTAAATGTTACTATTGTCAAGATCGAGCATCCTTTTTGTAGTGATTGTTTTTAAATCACAAACGAATTTATATCGATGAATTGTTGTCTAGCGGAGATAAAGATATCGCCAATCTAATAAAAGAACGTAACAAATTTATAACGATGAAAAACTCTTTAACTATGGACAATATAAATTATTCGAATGGATTCCTTTTGAAAGATTTACCAACGTTGAAAACCTTGTAGAAGGAAGTTTTGGGTCAATTTATAAGGCAACCTGGTTGGATGGACCATTGAAGGATGGATCGATATATGGCAATCGCAAAAATTTTGAGATAAAAACATACAAGATTTAATTTATACACAATTTCACATAATTTCATATACATGTAATCCTGTAAATCTATGTCATTCTTAGTCATTTTTAGTAGAGGAGTGAGAAGTTAATATAATTTTTAAAATCACGTAAAAAAAGGGAGTGAGAATTCAATTTAATGTAATTTCAAAAATGAAATTCAAAGAACCAGTTCCTTAACAGCTTATACGCGACTCAAAGATTATTATTCTAAAGTGTTTCGTGTTGATAATGGTTTGCTTTTTGTAACTATTGCAATCTATTAGTAGAATGTATTTTAATCGAGACTTTTTTATTGTCATAACGATAGTAAATGAATAAGATATACGTGTTTGATTTATCGTAGATCATAAATAATGAAGCTGAGACAACTTTACCATAACAGGGAACTAATTATTAGAGCACATAATATCACAAATCTCCCATTAAGAAACACAAAATTTATCACAATATTGCGCTTACATCACACACAAAATTTATAGATTCAGACTGTTCTTAAATGCTATAATGGTTATATTCGTTATTATGGAATAACTAAAAATCCTCTTACAAATTAATATTCTTGAAGTTATCTTAATTATTCATGACAAATTAGTTTTTTATATTATAATAATATTATTATAACTTAAATCCTATTAATAAAAATAAAATTTAATATAAATCTTAAAATCTTAGTATTTATATAAGTAATTTTATTTATAAATTAATTAAATATTTTTATCAAATTAACTAATAAATAATCTATTTTTTAATTATAAGCATCTTATATATTAAAGTATATATTATTATTTATTTAAATTCAAATTAAAATAGTTAATAAACTAATCAAGGTCTGATAAAGTAAGTATTAGAAAGAGTTATTCTAATCTTTAAATAAATATACTTAGGCAAAATCATATTTTTTATATTTAATAATAGCTATAATTATAATATATTTGCTAAGAATTTTTTTATAATTTTACATATAAATCTGGATGATAATTAGATATCAGATAGTTTTTCTATATTATAATATTTATATATATTAATAATATAATAAAATTAAAAGATATGATATATTTTTTAAAAGTATGAATTATAAATAAAAGATTTGATATTATAAAATAATTATTTACAAGTTATTGAAATAGCTAAATATATATACATTTTTTACTCAAAATTTTATTATAAACTCAACTTTATTAGAAGAGATGAAGTGATATTTATATTCATATTATAATTATAACTTTTAAAATATTATTCTAATTATATTAAAATTAATTATTTTACATATGAGTCTACTTGATATATAAGTATATATAAGCATAATTTTTTAACAAGATTGCAGTTTTTGCAGTAAAAAAATATTACTTTTATTATTAAATTCTGATAAATTTATTAGATAAATTTGATTACTTATAATAAATAATAAATTAAACTTATATTATATAAAGAATTAAATAACTTTTTATTGATTTAAAATTAGAAAATTCATTTTTAATAGATACTTTAATATATATTATAAAAAAAATAAAGATTTTAATAATTAATTTAATTAATTTAAAATAAACTTTTTATAATTTTATTTGTAATAATTTTGATTGAATTATCTTCTTTTTAGATTAGTGAACTATATCATAAACTTTTATACAAAACTCTTTGCTTTCAGATTCTTGTAATAATATATTGAAGAATATGTCTAATATAGTAATTATGTATAATAATCCTACCAAAAACTAATTAACAAAACTATAACTAAAACAAAAGATTTAATGCACTAATTAAATCTTCTAACAGTATCTTTTTAACCATTAGACAAACAAGAAAATATATATTAAGATAAAAATAAAGCTTATTTTACACTATTTATATAACAGATTGATTTTTATATTACTTTTCTTAAAAATCAATTTCATACTGAATATATAAATAATCATCTATATATTTAATTAATTAGATTTAACATATTATTATATAAATAATTATCATATATATTCTTATTATTAATTTAGATTATTAATATTTTTAATTATATTTTTAATTATTATTTCTTATTATTTTAATTTATTCTTCTTTAATTATATTTATATTATTATTTATATTATTTATAATTTATTTAAATTATAATTAGTTATCTTTTAGAGATATAAATTAAATTAATTAATTTTATTAAATTATATATATTTTAAAATTAGAACTATTATTAATTTATTCATATTTGTATTTATTTCTTTTTATTATAAATAAGTTCTATTTATTTTGTAAATTAACTTTAAATCTAAATACTATTTAAATAATAAAAATTATAAGTTTTATATTATAATTATTAATAAAGTAATTTTATATTATTAATATATTTTTAATTCTCTTGAATTACTTATCTAATTATATAAAATTAATTAATTATTAGTTATATATATAATATTTTAATACTAAAATTTTTATTTTTTTTTATTTTCATATTAAATATATTATATAAAAACTTTAATCTCTTTTTAAAATTATTATTAAATCTTAAAAAAATATATTAAATTAAAAATCTTATTAAAAATTATTTAATAATATATTTTATTTTATAAATATATATTTAAATATAAAGTTTTTATAATTTAAAGTATTTAATATAACTAAATATAATATATTATATAATTATTAAAACTAAAATTAATTTTTTTCTTAATATATTTTTAACTTATTTTTTATATAATAAAAAATTTTTTATATTATATATTTTTTTATAATAACTAAAAATAAAAAAAATAATAATAAAATATAGTAATAACCAAAAATAATAACTTAGATACTATAGTGATAACTAAAAGTAATGGTTTATGAGCTAAATTTACTAATAAAATATAGTGAAAATTGAAATTTTCTCTCTATATAAAAATTTATAATTTTAATAAAAAATAATTTTTATTTTTATATTAAAATAAAGTTTATCAGTTGTAGTTTAACATATAT